TCCCTTAAGACAAAGAGAAAAGAAACTCCAGAAAGAAGTTGAGGCACAATGTCGGTCTCTATTCCTATGAATTTTACAACGCCCGTACTGTTTCTTTAAAAAAATAATAAATGAGGAAAAACTTTTGAGAGGCCACGATTTAACTCTGGAACATATCACGCGTCATTGAAATGCCAAAGAAAGACAACTCATTTAATATTTCCCTTGAGGGTCGGGGAAACGTTTGTTCCCTTTTTATATGCTTCCAGCTTTTATGTTGAGTGGGCATCAAACTGTTTGATAATGACCTCGGCTACATCACGTAAAGGAGGAGTTCACGAATTAAGTTTGGAGTCTCAAACAGATGAAGAAACCTGTATTAGAAAATTCAAAACTGGACACTCCTGATATAAATTTCGTTCACGATAGAGCACACTCTTTGACTCTATTTGGAACCAATTAATGAAGGGAAAGAAGGAAAAAGTTATGCCTGCACTCAACTGTAAGGGCGAATTTTGTTTTCCCTTCATTTGCATGTCCATAGTGTGCACTAAGACAGACCACTCTTATTGCCCGGGGCTGAGTCACCCTCAGACATGTTCCGGCTGGTTGTGTTCATGCTCATTCTATCTAAAGTGCAATTCCTTTTCCGTCTGTGTAGCTAAATTGGTTGTTTACGATGTATGTAACATAAATGGTGACTTTGTGATATTTACCCCCATAATTTATTTTTGTGCATTTTGAATTGTGAGATTGTGATGTTATTTTTCCCTATTTACACTGTGATGAATTCAATGTATGATGACTGCTCTATAATAATATTTGCTTTTCACGGCGGACAACTGAGTAAGTGAGACATTTTCACGCAACTCAAGCAGTTGTTATATCCCTTTGTCATGTCAACATGTATAACTAACTATGAACGATTATAGATCTTATTCTTCATAAACTGTTCTTTTATGGGCTAGTGACTAGAAACAACAGGAAGGATGCTGTTTAAATTTGTTTTTTCAATCACAGAAAAGATAACTGTATTCAACGATAGTTTTATATCTACCTTGCCAAAAAATTCATTTAACTGCACAGCGTTTGAAGATCAAAATTTTATATTTTCCATTTTTTTCAAATAAAAGGGCTCACAAACACATTTAATAAAGAAATTTGAGAAAACAGGTAAAATCTGAGATCATTTTGAAACGCTGAGAATAAACACTGTTCATGGATCTGATTTTATCACGATTTACTCTTCATTATCTAAACTAAGTAGAAATTAGGGGACTGTGATCGACATCTAGTTCCAAGTTGAAAGTGGAACTATTTGCCTGTCTTTAAAAAAAAAAAAAGAAAGGCTGAGTGGTAATAATGATTTTCTTTACGAACATACTTTGAAACAGAGTTTTACAAGATCAGTAGGCCGAATATTGTAAACATAGGTTGTTTTTTTTTTTTTTAAGGATATAAAACAATAAGGTTCAGAGCAAGATTTTATCACTTGCATGCCATAAAGAGAAAGAGAGCCTGTTTTAGAATTCTCGTTAATCAACCTTTGTTCCAGTAACAAAGTGGATCAGATAAGAGAGTCATTCTTTGGCAAGCACCCTTTCCTACTTGAGCGTAAGAATATCGCTATAACAGAAACATGTGGAATGGATTTTTGTTGTCCATATTCTGGCTCATTAATTTTGTATTTTTTCACAAACACATACACACACACACAGACAGACAGATACATACACACACAGACACATACACAGACCCCCCCCCCACACACACACACATATATACACACTCACACACATACACATACGCATGCACACACACCCACACACGCATGCATATGCTCACCCATACCCTCAGACTCATACATTTCTACACATACACACTTTTGTTCATTAATAACATAATATTATGCATATGACTGTGGATCTGTTTGTGAGTAGATTAATAGAAAATTATTTGTTAGGAAGGAAACTCTCATCATCATCATCATCATCATCATCATCATCATCATTATCATCATCATCGTCATCATCATCATCATCATCACAATCCCCATCATCATCATCGTCATCATCATCATCATCATCACAATCCTCATCATCATCATCATCATCATCATCATCATCATCATCATCATCATCATCATC